TTTTTTTGGCAGTCATGTATTCTTTTAAGTAAACTCCAGGCCCAACATGGGACTTGGTCTCATGACCCCAAGATCAAGAGTTGCATGCTCTCCTGACTGAGCCAGCCAGGCACCCAAATGATCTAGCATCATTCAAATTATGGATGTCACCCCGTCCGATCATGCAGCAGCATCTGGTGAAGCTCACCTTTGGGGAGTGTTTCCTCTTGTCTCTATAATAATGGGCCTGTGGACTTAGGCTGGGACAAGGACGTCCCAGAAGGAAGGGGATGCGGAACGTGGAGGGACTGAGACCTGCCCCGTACGGACGGACGCAACCCGCCTGAGCATTGTCTCCTCTGTGATGCTGCATACATCACGATATCAAATCAGTGTCCCCAAAGTATGCAGGAGGGAAAGGCTGCCCTTTGTCCTCAAGATCACCCTAGTGATGATAGGGAGGCCACAGGCACTTGGGCAGGGTAAGGGGACTCCTGGGACTAAGCCTCGTTACCCATGGGGGATACTGCCGGATGTTCCAGTCCGGTGGTGCAAGATTTCCGGGTGCAGCTCGTAAACAACTATAACAGCACCCACGTTGCAGACGGGGCTGGGCTAGCCATGGGCAGGCACAGAGGGCAGGAGACGTTGGCATCCAATAGTGGCATCACGCAGGGGAGAAGGAACTGCATCTCCTGGAGGCTGAGGTCTCCTGCCCTGACACAGACTGGCCCTCCACTGGTCCCTCGGCTGGGCCGTGGGCTCCTCACTGAGGAAGGAGGGGGTTGACTTGGCCCTTTCCATGGCTGACTCTGACCTGCTGCTGTGCTCTTAGGAAGGACCAGAAACCCTCGAGGCCCACTGTCAACTTCTCCTCGCTTCCTCATCCCACACACTCTTCCCCTTTATTTCCCTCCCATCCTCATGAAAGAATGAGTCAACATTAGGGGGCCATGAATTCCATTTCAGAGCCATAGGGGACACAGCAGGAAGGCCAGGAGGGGCTGAGGAAGCTGCCTCCTCAGGCTGGGAATTCACAGACGGCCAGGAAGGAGGAGTGGCAGGAGATGTCATTCCAGAGCCCGTCCTTGAGGATGGTCACACAGTCCTCCCCAGAGCTGTGGTCGTTGGGCTCATTTGTCCTCCAGTTGCTGTAGCTCAGCCTCCCTCCTGTCACATACATAAACTGGCCTTCAGTCACCTCATCCGTGATGCCCAGGAAGGCCACGTTCTTGGCCACATGCCGGATGGCTTCGTCTCCTCGGCATTCTTAGGGGTGGCCATAGTGCCCTGGAGCTCGGCACACAGAGCCTTCACTTTGGAAAAAGGCATCGTTTCACCGTTGGTCACGTAGTGCTTCTTCCCAGTCTTTTTGCCCAAGGAGAACGCTTGCACTGAAATCACAATGGATGGGAGGGTTTGACTGGGCTTGGCGCTCAGCCCAGGACACTAGGGGGAAAAACCCTGCTCTGGGAACTCAGGACTCTGAAAAATAGCCCCATGCTCAACCACCAGGTCAGATCCTAGTCAGGAAGCCCTCCTTAGCTATAGAGCAAGTCCCCGGCAGAAAGCTCACGCCCTCCTGGGAGATCCCACCCTGGAGACAAACATCTGTTACAAACTGGCCCGGTATAGGGGGACAGAGGGAAACATGCTTGGGCCACCCTGCCAGTCTTGGGCACCAGGCATGGATGGATAGCCATCGGAGACCCGGGGTTGCCAAAGAGCAAGCCAAGATTCTGGAAGCGTCAGACCTTCACGTGAGATCCTTCCTCTGCTACTTCCTAGCTGTGGGACTGCGAGTGAATTATCTACACTTCCCGGACTGATTTTTCCTCACCTGTAAATGAAATGGGTCTAATCCTCACAAATAAGGCCAGTGAGAGGATTGAATGAAACCGTACTATGAGAGAAGGCCGACCCGGCACAGGCCACGGGATATGGTAAGTGTTCATAAATGTTAGCCCTCGTCCACCCTCCCTGAAACCTAGAGCACGCAAGGAAAAGGTGAGAGCCAAGAACACACTGGGGGACAGAAAATGAGCTTACACTTTTTGACGTGGTCCAGTTCTGATTTCAGACTCTTTATCTCCCTCTCTAGGTGAGCCAGCTTCGTCTCAGCAACTGCGAAGCAATAGGAGGAAGGTCATTTAATGAGAAGACCCTCGACTGGAGAGGAAAGTATTTTGCCAAAGGCGGGGCCGGGGGGAAGAGCTTACTGAAGAGTATGCTTATTCTAGAGAAACAAGAAACCAAAACGAAGCCAGAGGAAGAAAACCTCTGGATTCCTGCCTTCTGAGATTCACTTATTAGCTCTTGTAAACTATTAACTCTGAACTAATAATAATAAAAAATAACTTATAAAGTATGACTCTGGATCTTTTTGTTCACATACTGCTTAAGTGTTGCTATATTATAACTGTTTATAAGAAAAAGCCCAACTCATGATTTTCCTTTTTGAAAATTTTCCTTAACCATTCTCTTTCATTTCTTATTCCAGGCAAACTTCTTAATACTCTTATCAATCTGATGGGCCAGCTGGCAGATATTAACAAGAGGCCATCATTTTACTTTTGTTGTGACTGAATTTACTTCCTTTGACCCTGAATGAAGTTGCCATGACGTTCCCTACGATTCAGGGGTCCTAGGAAACCAGCCGTTTTCATGCCACTCTTTTGACAATAGACATGAAGCCGGCGCCCGAGAGGACATCACCGTTCCCTCCCAGCCTGGAGACAAACGCAGACTGTGTCTGCTGAGCAAGAGCCAGGGCCCGTCTCCCACAGAGCCCTGGGGAGGGGAAGGCTGGGTTTGGAAGTCTGCACTCGGGCGGCACGCTCAGGGGAACAAGTATACTGGGTCGGGAGCAGTCGGGCATCTTCCAATGGGGCAGCAGGAAAAGGGCCACCTCCCACCTGGCCCTCGAGGCCCCAGAGCCCCGGGTCCCCTAGGCACACACTGGGCTGGGGTGAGCTCCTTACCTGAACTATCTCCATGGTCTCCTTTGGGGCCCTTTGGTCCTGAAGCCCCAGGAGGCCCGATATTTCCTGGAGGCCCCATTTTTCCTGGAGGGCCCTGTAAGCCCTGGAGCCCTTGCCCTGTTGTAAGAGGAAGGAAAAGTGACCCAGGGGCTGTGGCGCCTTCTCTTCTTCCAGAAGTTCAGTTCGATTTACACTGACCCCAGAAAACCTCCAGTGAGCCAGTGACGACCCAAAGTAAAAAGATCCTCCTGTGTTCCAGAGGACAGCCTGTTCTAAGGGCCAGCTCAGGAACAGGCAGGCAGGACATCTGCTCTCTACAAGTGACCCCACATCGCGGATTCCTGTGTGGAAATGTGGGCTCCTGGAGGATCAGAGAAGCATCTTTGTTTTGGAGAGAATGACCTTTCACAGCAATGACTCTGAGTGAATGGTCACCCACTGTAATGAGAGGTGAGCGTCGTCCTGTCTCTGCTAGACCCCTTCTAGGGAACCGTCTCCGGTGGGGGGTAAAGATTTAGGAAATCAGAGCAGCCTGTCCTGTACCTGGTTCGCCCTTTTCTCCCTTGGGTCCGTCTCGTCCATCTCTGCCCTGGATGGTGCAGGTGATCACTGGGCACGTCTTCTGGGCATCGCCCGAGGCTTCTGCTTCTGAGTTGGCTGTTGTCAGCACACACAGAAGGACAGGAAGCGACGAAAACAGGAGCATGGTCCTGAACCTTAGGGTGGAGAAAGTCAGGGGAAATAATTCCGTCTCCTCTTGCTTCGTCAGCCTTTGCCGCCCCTTCTGCTGTGCCAGACCCTGTGCTGGGGGCAGGAGACCTAGAGGGGACCGTCAGGGCTCTTGGCTCTGCGTTACTCCCAAGCTACAAGCGAGAAGTAGTAGAGGTAGTTCAGTGCTAAAACGAAGGTAATATAAGAGTCGCAAGAGTGATACAACAGGGGCCCTGTGGGTTCGAGCCTGGGGAAGTTAGGCCGCCCCTCCGTGTGAGAGCCCACACGGTCTGGCGATCACAAACTAGCCCTCTGCTCCCATGGCCTGGCAGGAAGACCAAGAGCTCATCGCCTGTGTGAGCTTTGGCTCCTCTTTCTTGACTCCCTTCTTGAGGTTCCAGGGAGCCCCAGTTCCCCTCTTCTTCCCCTTCCTATGGGCCCTAAAGTTAGACTCAAACTCCAGCAGGTAACCTGAGGTCCCACAAGACCCATTTCTTGTCAGGACACCTGGTTTATGACATCCATTCTCTCATTTCACGTAAAAAGCCCGTCCTTCACTCCGGGCCACATCTGCCCCTGGGATCAATCCCAGTGGTTTCCCTGGCAGCCTGTCTGTCATCTTGCAGCAAGTCTCTACTTTGTGACAGGCACTTGCTGGGGGGGCTCAGGACCCAGGGTGTCCTGAGGCAGGGTTCTGACTCTCAGAATAGAACCTCCTTTGGTCCTTGATCCTGGCCAGATGAGACAGATTTCTCCTTCCCTTGCCTTGAGATTTTCCACCGAGAAGCCATTTTTTGCCAGCCAGAACACAGGCTCCTGAAATTTCAGTTCATGCTGGATCTGGCAGGCTGTCAGCCCTCGTTCCTTCTCCTGGCAGGATCCTCTGCGTGCTGCCCAGAGGCCTCCCCAGCTCCGTGCCCCAAGCCGGCTGTCAGATCGCCATCCAGCTTTTGCTCAAGCTGGCCCCCTTTCCAGAAGCTTGGCAGCCCAGCCCCCGTGGGCCTGTCTGGCCTCTCATCCCCGTGTCCCTGGCTAGAACCTCCCTCACTGCTGCCTCTGCCCTTGACCTTCCCTGGCCTGTCACCTGCCTTAACCCTTCCCTTCCTCCAGGACACAGTGAGAAGTAAGGAATTGGAGGAGAACTTTCTTGATCACATTCTTCTCCACCTTTCTTCTTTCTATCTTTTTTCTTTTCTTTTCTCTTCTTTTCTTTCTTTCTTTCTTTCTTTCTTTCTTTCTTTCTTTCTTTCTTTCTTTCTTTCTTTCTTTCTTTCTTTCAACTTCCCCTGATCGTCCTGGAGGTCAAGGTCAGGGCTTAAACATGTTGTTGGCAGACACAGCCCACTTACATTTTTCCCTTTGGCTGAAAAGACCACCCTTTTGTTTGCAGAAAGGTCAAGTGGACCCTGCAAGGATACAAATGCCCCAGGTCAGAGGGAGACAGAGGCCCTGAACTCCTTCAGAACAGGAGACAGAAGCCCCTGCTGGACCCCTGGCCCAGGGCTTTCCCTCTGTCCTCCAGAAATGACTTACTTGGGCCTCCTGAAAGCACGGAGGCTACGGCCAGGAAGCAGGTCCTCTAGCCCAGGGACGTCAGGCCCAATTAACCTGGTGACCGGGGACAGTGCTGGACTGGCCTTCAACCCCAGATTAATAAACAACTGTCCTCAGAACCGCTGTCTACTGGGGCAGCTCTTCAGCGTCACTGCTGAGGTCCGAGGCCCAGCACTGGGCAGCTCACTACTTGAATAGCCCGCAATCCTCCCTTTGCTGCTCCCTCCCATGCATCCCTGCAGCTCCGTCCCTCTAACTCTCCAGAGTCATAGTCTAGACAATACTTCCCTCCAGATATTTATTTCTAGAAGAGACATGATTAGACATTCCACCGAACACGCACTCATGTGTGAGCACGCGCATGTCCACACACGCCTACACATACAGGCTCACACCCCTGTGTCAGTTCCCCCGCCCCCCACTTGTGTTTGGTTCATGGTGGGGTGGGGGGTTGGGAGGGATTAAACACTGAGTCGCCTCATTCCTCCCTTCTCATTCACAACATTTATCAAAGGTCTTCTTTGGATGAGGCGCAGATGTTCCAGGGCAAGGCACAGGGGAGGGAGTGTTTGTAGATAATTCAAGTTCAAGGCTGGATGTGGGCACTTGCACTACAGCTGTTCCAGCCTAGGATGCTTGCCTCTTCTTTGCGTGATTATTGTCATTGACATTGCAGTTTAAATATTCTCTCTGGAGAAAGGGCTTTCCACTACCATTTAATTTTTTTTTTTTTTTTTAAGATTTTTACTGATTTATTTGACAGAGAGAAGAGACAGCGAGAGAGGGAACACAAGCAGGGGGAGCGGGAGAGGGAGAAGCGGGCTTCCCGCGGAGCAGGGACCCCGACGTGGGGCTCGATCCCGGGACCCTGGGATCATGACCTGAGCCGAAGGCAGACACTTAACGACTGACGGAGCCACCCAGGCGCCCCTCTATCATTTAATTTTAAGTAGCCACTCCATCCTCTCTTTCTGTTTTAATTCTCTGCCTGTAATAGCTATCCCTGTAAAACTGTCTTGTTTATTTAGTTGCACATTCGTTGACCGCTGCCCTCCTTTAGAACAAGAACTCCTTCAGAACAGGGATCTTGTCCTCAGCTGTTGCTGCCCCACTCAGAAGGGTGCCTGGAAGCAGTCACCGCTGCTGGGAAGGGTGCCTGGAAACAGTCACCGCTGCTGGGAAGGGTGCCTGGAAACAGTCACTGAGTGAATGGGTCCTTCCGCATGGCCTCCACAGAGCAGCTCCCCGACTGCTCTCCCCCCAGAGCTAACATCGGTGCCAACGCTCCCAGCTACTTCTCTAGGGCAGGAGCTGTGTTTGCTTCACCGGCTTGTCTCCACGGTGCACCCCAGGGCTGGGCACACAGGAAGGGTCCCCTGAGAGAGCAGGGGGAGGAGCGGAGACCATGAGCAGGAGCAGGTGGCTGGCCAGTCCTCGGTGCCTCCGCACCTGGTTTCCAGCAGCGTCCGCTTCTTATCTCCAGAGCCTCATCAAGTGGCCTTTTTCAAGTCCCTGACCTGACCTTTGATTCCTGCCCTCCCCCAAATTTACACTCACTCTCTGAAACACTTAGTCTTACCAAATAGCTCGAGAGGTTTGCTTTTTCCCTGGTGGGGAGTCGGGGAGGGGCCACTTCCCTTTGAGTCTGCCTTGCGATTGGTGTTCTGGCTTCTCGAGGGTCATCAGCTCTGTGTACTCGAAGTCACTAAGCCTTGTTCGGCAGCCCTCCCAAATTCCTGGGACCCCCTGTACAGAAGACCCCTCTCAAGGCTGTGTTTCCTGATGCCATTGGCATAATTGTGAAGGGCCCCAGGCCCAGAGGACAAAGAACATCCGACCCATGCAGCAAATGAGCAGACCTCCCAGAAGGGTGGGAGTTTGAAACAGAGAATTACATAAACCAGGACCCTCTATGCTACAGACTAGAGGAAAAGTGGCTTGGGGAAGCAGGGGAGACAATATGGCAGGAGGAGGGAAGGATGAGCAAAGAAAGGGACAATAAGAAAGCCTTGACTTTGCTAGGGAAAAGATCCACCTTTGCAGATGCGTATTTTAATCTGTCCTCGCCTAGGCCTGGGTTTTTTGTTTTTTAAAGATTTTATTTATTTATTTGAGAGAGAGAGAGAGCGAGCACGAGAGGAGGTAGGGTCAGAGGGAGAAGCAGACTCCCCACTGAGCAGGGAGCCCGATGCAGGACTCAATCCCGGGACCTTGGATCATGACCTGAGCCAAAGGCAGTCGCTTATCCAACTGAGCCACCCAGGCATCCTAGGCCTGGGTTTTAAAGCATGCTACACACTATTATTATTCTGCCAAGATGATTATTATTGAATTTTGCTATTTATGCCAAGATGAAAAATAGTTTTTCAAGTGTCTCAGCTCATCACACCCTAGTGCACCATAGGGACATGCATGCTAGGTGCCTCAGGATTTTCTCAGATGGCGATCAGCTAAGTTTGAGATCCACTTGTAAAACTTACCAAACACAGTAGGAAATAAGCAGAATGAAGGCTGACTGATACTACAAGCCTCAGAAGGAGTCCTCCCAGGACTGCTGCCTCTATAAACAGATACATTGATATTTTTATTTTTATTTATTTTTAAAGATTTTATTTATTTGTCAGAGAGAGCGAGAGTGAAAGAGCACAAGCAGGGGGAGCGGCAGGCAGAGCAGGCAGAGAGAGACTCGATCCCAGGACCCTAAGATCATGACCTGAGCCGACTGAGCCACCCAGGTGTCCCAAATTGATATTTTTAAAAAGACAGTATAAGAAAGAAAGAAGCAAAGGAAGAATAAAAATTTAAACAATCAAATTAATGAATTAGAATAAGGAAATAACTATAAAGCTAATAATAAAATTTTAAAAAACTGGTTCTTTACAAAAATAAAATAAGTAAACTTGGCAAATCTGACCAGAGAAGTTTGGATTATTGTTCCTGATATTTTATTTCTCCATATCATAGTATTACACATCTGTGCCCTTGGGCCATGGGAGTTCGCGGAGCCTGCCCTAGAGTGTGCAGTGTTCTCTACGTCCCACCCCCTGGGACATTTGGCTTGGCCGTGTGACCATGAGCAGACACAGAAGGAATGGCAGCTTTACATGTGCTTACGCTTTTAACCCGGCCTCTTCTGGTTTTTCCAATCATGGGAAGAAAACGTCCCCACTACCACTAATATCAGATTAATTAAACAATGTGGAGCAGACACAAACGCTCCTGAAAGCCAGAAGTCAAAAGCAGCAGTTGAAGTCCAGGCAGGCATCCGTGGTCAATAGCGCAGTCTCTGGAATCTGACTTCGTGTATTCATAGCCCAGACAGCGCTTGAACTGGCTGCGTAGCCTTTGGCAAATCGCTTTAACCTCTATGTGCCTCAGTATTCTTATCTGTAAACTGGGGACAATAATAACATCTACATAATAGGGTTAAAGCGGATCACATGAGTTAGCATGAGTGTAGTTCCTGGCACAGAGTAAATGTGATGAGAGTATCAGCCCCTAGACCAAGGGGGGTATATCCCAGGAATGAAAGGATGGTTCAATATCAAAAGATAAATCCCTGTAACTCACTAATATAGTATGTAACAAGTTTGATGAAGAGTCTTTTTTTTTTTTTTTAAAGATTTTATTTATTTATTTGAGAGAGAGAGAATGAGAGACAGAGAGCACGAGAGGGAAGAGGGCAGAGGGAGAAGCAGACC